TGCTCGGAATAGGGGAGCATGTATTTCTAATGCAACAGCTGTTTTCTGGACAGACTGTGTGCAAATCAAAATCAGGCATTAGCGTATTTTTAAAGGTCTCAGAAGAACCCTTATGATAAAGATCAAAGAACCTGCCCCCTGTGACAGAAGCCAATTCCTGAAAAAACTTACGCCAGAAGCTTCTTGCGAGCCTTGTCAGCCTTCAGCTTGTGGATGTGTTCCATGAGAATCCGCTTGTTCTTGAACACGTTCCCCTTCACTTTCAGGTACAGGCTGTGGTACCTGAAGGATAGAAGGCGCAGAGGCTTCGGTCAGTACTGGGGGCAGAGGCTGGCCCGGCATGTGCCCCTCTACGTAAGGTCCCTAAGTGCGCAGGGTTCCTCTCCTCTGCAGGGACGGCTTCCCCCAAACCAAGACTTTTTGTGCAATTTCCAGACAGGACAGCTTGCCTGGCAGGTGAAGTTCAATTCTTGGGCTATCCTAATGTTGCACATGGCCGGGGGTGGGGGGGGGGGGGGGGGGGGGGGGGGGTGGGGCAGATGACGAGGGGGGACGGGACATGGGACAGATGACAATGGAAGAACTTTCTTTGAAAGGCCTAAGACAGGGCGCCTGGGTGGCTCAGTTGGTTGAGCGACTGCCTTCGGCTCAGGTCATGATCCCGGAGTCCCGGGATCGAGTCCCACGTCGGGCTCCCTGCTCAGCAGGGAGTCTGCTTCTCCCTCTGACCCTCCTCCCTCTCATGCTGTCTCTCATTCTCTCTCTCTCAAATAAATAAATAAATAAATAAAATCTTTAAAAAAAAGAAAGGCCTAAGACACATGGCTCCCTCCCCAAGGCCAATGAGACAGATGTGAGTCTGTGCAGAGAACAAGCTGTCAAAGCACCAAATGGGTCTCAGTGGCCACAAGAAGAGGGTGTGCTTACATGTGGCGGTCGATCTTCTTAGATTCACGGTATCTCCTGAGCAGCCGGCGCAGAATTCTCATCCTCCTCATCCAGGTGACCTTCTCAGGCATCCGAGCATTGGCAGTACCTTTTCTCTTACCTGCAGGGAAGGGGGGGTCAAGCCCACTGTTGTGCCTCTGGGTCTCAGCGACAGCTGCCAGTTTCTTCAACACTTGACAATTCACTCAGTCACGGGCCAAGGGCTTGACCTCATTTTCACAGCATTGCTTTCATTTTATGATGATGACCCTAAGCATTTCTTTCATTTACTCATTTTAAGGAAGCACCAATAAGGCAATTATTCCCCACTTTCTGCAGAATGTGTAGAGGACAGGGTGTGCACCAAGGCAGTATGGTAAGCTGGAAGGGGCTTTAAAGGAGCTATGACCTTCATCTCCCTAAATCATCCTAACCCTAGAAAGTGGTTTTAGGATTTACTGGACCATATTTTCAAGTACCCAGTAGAATCCTTGGCTCAGAGTAGGTGCTCAATAAATGTGACCTCTACCAATACCTTCAACTCCAACACTAACGTCAGCTTTGAGTTGCACACAGAGAAAACACATCTAACATCATGGAGTAAGAAAAGGGCTTACAAGGAGACAAAATGGAAAGAAAAAGATCCTGGATATATCCCAGTCTAGACTTGGGCAACTCTAATTTAAGTCTCAGAGCAAAGGGAAGAACACACTTACCAATGCCCATATGTCTGCCCTTCCGGCGGGCCAAAGTGTTTTTACGGCACCGAGCCCGGGAATGGACAGTCACAGGCTTCCGGATGATCAGCCCATCTTTGATCAGTTTTCGGATCTGCTGACCTGGGAAAAGATGATGCATCTAGTCAGTGAGGTGGGGCCTAGCCCCGAAAACACCAGTCATAACCCAGAGTCCAAAGAGGCCAGGCCAGAGACATTGCTCACATCCCTGGCCCAGTGGTCTCAAAAATGGTACAAATATTGGAACTTCTGCTTATTTCTCTTTTGTTAAAAAACAACAACAAAAAGGGGTGCCTGGGTGGCTCAGACGGTTAGGTGTCTGCCTTTGGCTCAGGTCATGATGGGATCGAGCCCCACATCTGGCTCCCTGCTCCGCGGGAGGCCTGCTTCTCCCTCTCCCACTCCCCCTGCTTGTGTTCCCTCTGGCTGTCTCCCTGTCAAATAAATAAAATCTTAAAAAAAAAAACAAACTTTCTTTCTATTTTTCTAAATGTTTTACAGCACACTCAAATTATATGTATTTGAGGATGTGAGATCAAGAGTGTACACACATGGCCTAGTCCTCCAGATCCTGCCTCACCTATTAGCTACTGGTCTAAAACAAGATTATGATATTCTGAGCACATATCACAATGCCACAAACTCAAACTGGTTAAGAAATTCCCTGACAGGGCGCCTGGGTGGCTCAGTTGGCTAAGCGACTGCCTTCGGCTCAGGTCATGATCCTTGGAGTCCCGGGATCGAGTCCCGCATCGGGCTCCCTGCTCAGCAGGGAGTCTGCTTCTCCCTCTGACCTTCTTCCCTCTCATGCTCTCTACCATTCTCTCTCTCTATAAATAAAAATCTTTATTAAAAAAAAAAAAAAAAAAGAAATTCCCTGACAGTAGGGCACCTAGGTGGCTCTGTCAGTTAAGCGTCTGCCTTTGGCTCAGGTCATGATCCCAGGGGTCCTGGGATTGAGCCCCACATTGGGCTCCCTGCTCAGTGAGGTGCCTGCTTCTCCTCCTTCCTCTGCCTGTCGCTTTGCCCACTTGTGCTCTGTCAAATGAATAAATAAAATCTTTTTAAAAAAAAAAAGAAAGAAATTCCCTGATATTGACCAACATTCTTTGCTTGACCAAACTTTCCTCAGCCTCCTGAATCACCTCCTAGGCCCACCTGTGCACGTCCTTGTAAATTCTAGTCTAAGAACCCCGCTTAAGTCAGTTTAAGCACAAGCCCCCACCCTTGATATAAGATCAGGTTCCCCAACCCCAACATTCCCCAGGTGATGTCTGATCACCCCGGGCTGTCTTTAGCAACAATCCTGTTTGGTCAGTCTAGCCAGAATCCACCCCCCCCCCGCCACAGCCCCTTACCATTAGGGTTTCCTCTTAGTCATCTTCCAACCACTGACCCTCATACCACCCACCTTGGCCATAAATTCCTACTTGCCCATGCTACGTTCAGACTTGAGTGCAATCCCCACCCCCCACTGTAAAATCCCACTGCAGTTGTCCCTACACTTGCAGCAACAGTCCCGAATAAAGCCCACCTTACTATCTTTAACGAGGATGACGGAACACCTTTTTCTGTAACAATATCACATGGAAGTAATGTGGATATGTTGCTATCTGCACGACTGACAACTGTTTAACTGCCCTGAATTATATGCCAAGAGGCCTTTCCTAAAGCCTGAGGTCCCAGGGCTTCCCAATCCATCCTTCATCATTTCCTTGGCCATCTCTACTCCCAGTCCCTGTACTGTCCTCATAAATCCTTCACATAGTTATAAAACAATACCCACATTAGCAATAATCATTAATACAACACTGGGTTGTTCCATTAACTCCCATTCTGCCATTTTCGCAAATGACAGAGAACCTCTGGTATCTCCATTATTTCTGGGACCCTCCATTTTAGAAGACCCCAGACTATGAGCTTTCCTAGGTTTGTTGAGAGTCAAAATCGTGACACCTTCCATCTCATGAAGGATGAGAAAGGGGTAGGGTGAAAAAGATCCCAAGAACTCACGGGAGTTGGCATTGGCGATTTCATTGGTCTCGTTGGGGTCCAACCAGACCTTCTTTTTGCCGCAGCGGAGGACACTGGAGGCAAGCCTCTTCTGAAGCCTGAGCATGCTGTGACAAACAGAAAACATTATCAAGCCCTGGAAGCCATTCCCCAGCAAGACTTGCCTTCCAATCTTTTAATGTTGTGAAGCAAAAAACACGGGAATTGGATGTGTGTAAGCACTCAGTATTTAGGGCAAGATCCCGCCCCCTCACCCCCCATATTAAGAATCATTTCTCTAGCAAGATTTTTGTGCTGTGCATTGCTGCAAGAGCAACTGGCCACCTTGGAATGAGAGCAAAGTCCAAGCTATGCCTTAACTTCTCTGCCTCAGTTTTCTCCTCTGGAAAACGAGGTTAATGGATAAAACTGGTATGAAGAGGGGGCTTATGTCCTTTCTGGTACCAAGGTCTAAACACAGGCGACTAAGAATCCGAGGCCAGAGGGTCTGATTCGCTCGTCTAGTCCTTTGCTTCTTGGGCCCGCCTCCCTTGTCTTAATCACAGTAATAAGACTGCCCGTTCCGCTAGCCTCAGAGTTTTCTTAGGAACCGTCCACGGGGCGGAAAGCGTTAAAGTGCTAGTGATCGCCCCACTCCAAGCAGTCTGAGGCCCGAGGCCTACGCGAGACCTGTCCTACGTCACATGGAAGCACAGCGCGGCTCCGATCCGGGGCGCCCAGCGAGTAAGGGGGCCACAGCCTAGACCCCGCCGCGGCCCTTCCACTGTCCGCGTAAGAGTCGCTCGCGACCCATATGGGGCGCCGGGCCCACCCTTCCCGCGGCCTCGCCTTTTCGGGCCGCCACCCCCCCCATCCCCGCGAGGCCGGGGCCTGGTGCGCTCCGGCCCACCCCAAGCTCCGGGACCGGCTGCTTCAGGACTGCCTCCACCTCATCTCTCCCACCCGGGGCCACGGAAGCAAGCCCTGCCGCCCGCCGGCACGTCGAATCAAGCAAAATCAGAGGCCCGCACGCCCTCACCTCATGGCTGCGGCCGCAGCGCCGAAAGGAAAGAACTCCCCCCGGCCGGGCTCCTCCCATTATCTGTGAAGGGGAGAGCCCATCCCCTGCTCCGCTTTCGCCCGTATTCCCCGCCCGTCCTTGCATCCTCTGCCACACTGAACTTACTCTTACCCTCTGTGAAGACCTAGAGAATAGAAGCCTAATCTCGGGAATCGGTTTTAAACTTAAAAACATAAAAAAATAGATCCTTTCAGTGAGGCAAAGTGGTATAGTCCGACTTTCTACTAGGCATGCGCAGCGAGGGTACCTGATCACGTGGGTAGTGGAAGCCGGAAGTCACGGCTGACGGCGCAGGCGGCGCGTAGTTTTGCTAGAGTGGCCTACTTTTTGCAGGCGTTCTGGGTTCTGTGGATGATGTTTTCTTAGCGAAAAAATATTAGTGAATGGAGTGAGAGAAGACAACGTGGGGAGATATCAGTCAAGAGCAACCTTTTATTCACTCTCTCCGTACGTTGGGAACCCCTGCGGCACAGGAGAGACCACCAAACATAGCAGTTTTTGTGCCACTGTGGTCCTTAATCTCGTAGCGCTTCAGTTTGCTCCTTTGTAAAGTGTACCTAATCCTAATATTCCTGTCATCCGTTGTGAAAACCACATGAATTAATTTGCAAAGGAGGATATTAAGACAAGCTCCTTGGTGACAGGAACCAGTCTTGTTTGGTTCTCGCTGTAGGCACCACAGGAGGCATGGAGCTTTGCATATGGTAAGCATTTGAGAAATAGTGCATTGGCTGACTGAAGGAATAGTTGTGAAAGTTAGGGGAAAAAATGGAATGACAGGGTCATCCATAGTTCTTCTGCTCTGAAACACCCAGTGCAAAAACCCAAAGAGAATATTCTGGGGTTCAAGAAATCTAGATCTGAGTCCTGGCTCTATCTCCTTGCTTGGCTCCGGCTGAGTACCGATCTCTATCATCTGAACTTTCCTGGTTGCTAAATGGAGCTCAGGAAAGAGAGGAGGGGAAGCAAAGCAAAATTCATGCCACTTCTTCAAAACAACATGGATAGTGTCATCTTCATTTTACAGCTGAGTGAGGTAGCAGAAATTGAAAATCCAGGTCTTTCTGACTTCAATATCCATGCCTTTTCTGTCATACCAGGCTCTCTTGTGCCCAAGGGACAGATTGAAACCCTGTTCAGGGTTGGATCTGTTCATAGCACAGTGCTGATGTACTTCATTCTTACTCTCCCTCCAAGTAATGTGATCAAAGAAACAACAGAGGCTGGCCATCCACTTGTAGAACCCAGGGTGAGGAGAAGGAGTCAGTGTATTCCACAGTCTCTCCTCTAGCAGGAGACAGCAGGCTGGGCTTTATGTTAGGGTAACTGAACCTGGGCAAATCTTGTCCATTCTACTTCTCATCTCCCCTCTTTGAGGAGCAGGGGAAGCGGTAGAGAAGTAACAATTCCTCCTGCCATGAGAGACCTTTGTTCAGCGCCTTATAGCATCTCCAAACACCTGAGCAGTCCATCATTTGATTTCATTCTCCCTCATCCTCCTAATAATCCCAGGTGACAAAGACACTACAGTACTGGCAACCCCATTTTACAGAAGTGTAGTGACTTGTCCAGAGCCAAAAGAGCCTGAGCCAAACTGACACCAGAATTGTTGTTGTTTTTAACTTATCTCTATGTCCAAGGTGGGGCTCAAACTCACCTCCCTGAGATCAAGAGTCACATGCTCTAAGGACTGAGACAGGCAGGTGCCCAATACCAGAGTTTTTGCCAGACTCCCTAATTCCTTTTCCCTCCATAGGTTGTGGTGGGTGGGATCCAGGCCTTGGGTATTTGTCCCCAAATCAAGGCTGAAGGGGGAGCAATTCAAGGTCAAAAGGCAGTAGATCTGATTTTAGCCACTCTCTCAGCTCCACATTTCTTCCTCCTCTTTCCTCTCTCTGCCGAGAAACGGGGACTTTGCCTTCTGGAAGGGCCTGGGGGGATACGAAGGACAAAGGCATAAGGACTCGGGTCCCCGGGATTTCTTGTTGCTGTGTTGGGGCTCCCTTTGGACATTCTCATCACCCCAGCCTCGGTCTCAGACTCAGCCTCCACCTCCGGAAAGCATCGTCCTGTTGCAGGGAGAGGGGCCTTTCTGTTTGGTTCAAGGCAGCCTGAGCCCACACCGGGGAGAAAGGAGTTAAAGCCGGGTCCCAGGATCAACGGGATCGGGAAGTTCCGGCGGGCCAAACTGGAGTGGAACGAGCCGACCCGCGAAGGGAGAGCGGTTTGGGACGGACGGGGAGGGGGCGTGCCAAACCGCGCTTCACCTCCATCAGCGCTCTGCCTCCACTGGTAAACCGCGGCCCCCGCCCCCTGCCCCAAGGCCGGGCTTCACTCCCCGCCCCGTCCCCCCCGCCCCGACTCAGAGTGGGCCGCCCTCACCCCAGGCCAGTCAGAGGCCGGCGCTCAGCCTCCTCCAGAGCCAGGAGGGGCGTGCCTCCCTCCGGCCGCCCTCCCATTGTCTGTGCGGAGCCCGCGGAGGGGCTGCGAGGGGCGGGGCCGGGGCGGGCGGAGGGAGGGAGGGAGGGCGGAGGGAGGGGCAGGTGGGAGCGGAGGGGGCGGGGGGAGATGCTGAGCCTTCAGGGGCGGAGGAGGCGGCGGCGGCAGAGGAGAGAGCGGGAGGAGGGACGGGAGGCAGGAAGAGGGCAGCCGAAGGCCGGGCCAGGTGGCTGGAGCGGGTGCCGGCTGCGCTGCGCGGCTCTCGGTTCCGACGGCCTCTCTCATTCGCTGAGGGCGCCCGGCTGGGCCGGGCCGGCAGCCGGAGGGGAGGCTCCTCTCCATGGTCCAGAAGACCAGCATGTCCCGGAGCCCTTACCCACCCTCCCAGGAGATCCCCATGGAGGTCTTCGACCCCAGCCCGCAGGTGAGGTGTGGTGGCCGGGCCCGAGGGCAGGGGGCCGCTCCCGCGGACCTTGTGGGGTCGGCTCGAGGTTCGCGGGGAAGAAGGAGTTAGGTGCCCGGCGCCCGTCGCGGAGGGGCGCCTGCGCGCCCCCAGTCCCTGCCGGTTAATGATTGATGGGCGCTTGGCCGGGAGTTGGGCTGCGGTTTGGCGGAGCGGGGAGGGGGCGGTCGGGCCGCCTGTCACCCTCGCCTCGGCTCCCCCGCGTCAGGGTCCCTGCTCCAGGGCTGGAGAGTGGGGGAGCTGGCGGGGCATCCGGGGGTTGAGGGAGGCTCGAGAGCGAGCTCAGGCAAAGGGGGCGACGCACGCTCGGGGGCGCCAGGCGGGGGTGGGTGGGGCGGGGGTGGCCCTGGGAGATGGCCGAGGCGGTGGTCAGGGCGGTGCCAGCAGGCCTTCGGAGCCGCAGACACTGGCCTTTCGAGAGTGGGGAAGGGGCCGGCCCCGGGCTAGGCCCCCATCCTGGCACCTCAGCTACATCCTCATATTGGACCACCTTCCCTCCCCCAACACCCACGTTATCTTTCCTTCTCCACCCCCTTCCCCTCCCCAGCCTTAGAAAACGCCTCCGAAGTTTGGAAAGTTGTATGGATGCCAACTCACTGTCCTGGAGGGGAGGAAGCTGTGTTACCTGGGGGTTAGGGGGTTGTCTGCCTCCCCACCCCCAGTCACACTTTTCCGGTGCCCCGGGTTATCCCCAGGAAGGGGCGTTCTTGGGTGTGGTGCGTGCCCACGGAGTGACCAGCAGGGTCTGGGGTGACTGGTCAGGGTCTTGGGTGGTCGTGCCAAGGGATTTTTCTGGGACAAGGCCATTCTCCAATCTGGCAATACCCCGAGGCTAAGATACCATTAACTCTTTTCTTGCTGTGACCAGCCTGGAGCAACTGTAACCACCGTGAAAATGTGGTTGATGGGCATGTGAGGGAGGGGGTCAGGTTAGACCTAAAAATACCTCCTTTCTCCACCCCAGGCCCCTTGGAGCCTGGGAGGCAGCTGACTGGGGCCTTCCTTTCAGCTGTCCCTTGTCTCTCTGGGTGCCACTCCCTTTTCCCATCCTGGGGTGGTGGTGGTGGTGTGAAAGAGAGTCTGGGGCTCCCTGGAGGATCCTCTTAAGTTTGTAGGGATCCTCAATCCTAGAGGTTGGGATGTGTTTGGTTTGAGAGAAGGGGTTGGGAGGGAGGATTTTTGAAGGATTCCCAGGTACCTTTCTCTCCCATCTATCCATGCTCCTTCTTGTACTCAGGCCCAAGGAACCAGAGCCCCTAGTCTGATCATGTCTTATCTAGCTTCTTGGGATTAGAAACTCTAGGATGGCGGCTGGGGGCAAGGGCTTGGAGGGCCTGAACCCTCCATCATTCCCCTCCCCATGACTCTGGACTGGCCTGGGGCCCAGTGTGTATGTAAGTTAGGGAGGGCAAGGATGAGCCCCCTTGACAGGAGGCCTGGAAATACCTGAATGTGTGGCTGCTTGAGAGGTCAAGCAGTGTCCACTGCACCCAACCCAGGAACCCAGGCAGTGAGGCTGAGCCAGCCTACCCCAGGGACTTGTGGGGGCTGTGTCCTAGGCTTGTCTTGGGGCAGGGCCAAGGGGCATTTAGATTGATGCAGCCTGGTGGTTACCATGGGGACCGGTCATGGACAGTGGCCGCCAGGGTTTAGAGAGTGGAAGCTTGAGCTCTCTCTAGTGTGAGATTTCTAGAGGTGTGATCACTGTGATGATCAAGAGGGGGCTGAGAAACAGTCGTGACAGGGTTGGTGGGTGGGGGAGGTGTTGCTAAATCTGCCCCCATGACACTGGGCTGGGTTGGGGTTAGATGTTTCCTTTCCAAATACAGTTCCATCCGCCCCCCCTTAGCCCCCTCCCCAGAAATCTGGTTTTGGGTCTCCAAGAACTGAGAGCTGCCACTCCCCTCCCCACTCTGCGGAAAAAATGAAGGCAAGATTCGGGCGCGGTAAAAGCCAAGCTGGGCCCAGGTTGGCGATTCCTCTTCACCCTGGGGGCCACGGGCACACTCGGCCCCCCTCAGCTCCAGCTGAGGAGGAAAGGGAGGGGGACTTTCCCCAGCTCTCTCTGCCCCCCTCACACTGCAGGCAGCCTCTCCCTTCCCCGGAGGCCTCTGCAGCCTGCCCAGCATCTTAATTAGCTTTGCTGCCTAATGAGCCTCCAGCTTCTCAGCGCCTCCCTGTTCCCAGCCTCTCTGGCTTGGTTTGGGGGTTTCTGTGCGAGCTTTCTAAGGTCCTCTCCCACTGTCCCCCCACCCCAAGGCTGTGATCTGGGCCCCCCCCCCCGGGCTGTACCATCTCTGGAAGAAGATGGGGGGTGGGGCTGTTCAGATCAGGCAATGATACTCCCAAAGCTTGGCAGGAGCTCTGGGCCTGATGGGATGAGGGTTGGGAACGGCCCTTTCTGATTCCACTCTTGTCCCTTCCTGGCTTCCCCAGGGCAAATACAGCAAGAGGAAAGGGCGGTTCAAAAGGTCGGATGGGAGCACGTCCTCAGATACGACATCCAACAGTTTTGTCCGCCAGGTAATGGGGAGGCTGGGCTGAGAGAAAGGAGGTGGCTGGTTGGTGGAGACCAGCATTGGTGAGCTGGTATATTTAGCTAGGAGGCTTTTCTCCAGGCACCCTCCTCCATGTCATTTGTCACCTGCCTGGAACCACCCCATCACCCTTACCCCCGTGACCTCTCCTGCACACACTGTCAGCCTGCACCCACTGCCTCAGCCCCCGCCCTGCCCCTCCCCCAGCCCCAGGCACCAGCCCCTGCTGCCTGCCTGCGTCATCTCATTCAGGGACAGCCTGGCCTGCCTCCTCCTAGCTTGCTTCGGGCTGTCACCCACTCCCCCTGCCGGCTGTCTGCTTCCATGTCCTCCCCCAGAACCTGTGACAGCGTGGGGTAGAGGCAGAGCCTAAGAGATGAGGAGCCAGGTCCTTTGGGTCCCTGGAGCCCTGGTGGGGTATGGCGAGGAAACGCCTCCTCCCATCCAGCTGACTGCTCTTGACTACGCAGAGAGAAAGTGTGTTGGAAGGGGCGAGGGCGGGAGGGCGTTGGTTTTAGAGAGGAGGGTAGCCCAGCACCCCTGGCTGAAGGAGACTGGCTAGCTTTCTGGGGTCTTCTTTTCTCAGTCAGGAAGATGCCATTCTCATCTCTGTTCTCACTCTCAACCCCAGGCCGTCTCGGGCTCAGGGAGGGGCAGCCAGAGAGGCATGTGGTTGCTATGGCTACAGAGCATCTCAACCAAACCTGGTACCCAAAAAAGGCGAGGGAGGCTTGGGATCAGACAAGGAAAGGGAGTATGTCGAAAGAGGAAATGGGCAGGGCATAGGAGAGCAGAGAGTAGGGAGGTCAGCCCCCGTACCTCCTTGGGCTGGAGAGAGAGGGTGGTGCCAGGCAAACCCACCGCAGATTGTGGAGTGAGGCCCTTTCTGCCTCTTGTGTCTCCACAACACTTGGCACATGTGAGCCCAGGCCTCACTTGAGAGGATCAGACAAGCAGCCCTTCATCCCAGCATCTTCTAAGCGCACAGATAGACGGGAAGTCCTTTCTTCAGTCTTTTCCTCATCCCTCCTGTTGCAGGACTCAGCCAGGGCCAGGGCCAGGGATAGGAGGAATGACGCTGTGCTCGGGGCTAACTCCTCTTGACAGAAAAGAATCTTGGTTCCTTCAGTGTTTGCCACCCCCAGAGGATCAAACCCCAGCCTCCAGTCCTTCCTCCTCTCAGCTCCCTAGCTCTGACCCCCAGTAGGTGGCAGGGAGTGGGGGAGCAGGCCTTGCCACATCTCTGAGCTAAATATACCCTAGCAGTTTGCACATGTAGCAACTCTGCTTGTAACCTGAGCCCCCTGGGGGAGCGGGCAGTTTGGGCCCCCCCCCCAGGCCTGCAGGGCCAGGCACTGAGGGCGCCGGGATGGAGGCGCCCAGCCGGACCCTCGTAGTGGTGAGCCAAGGATGGGGTGGGAGTCGGGGTGGGTGGGAGCAGCCCCAGTGGGAAAGCTGATGGGGGGGCCCTCACTCCAGCCTGTCTCCTTGCCTCCTCGCTGTTTCCCTGCTCCTGCCATTTCTGATATGTCTATGTGTGTGCATGTCTGTGTGTGTGTGCGCGCGCGCGTGCGTACACGCATGTCCGTAAGGATCAGTAAATGCCTCTCTGCCACTCTGTCTCTGGGTCTGTTTCTCGGGCTCTCTGGGCATCTGTCTCCTTGATTCTTAGTGCTCTCATCAGGACGGGTGGAGAGTAGTAGATCAGCTGGTTTTCACTCTCCTTCCCTTTTGTTTCTTTTCCAGCCTCCATTAGTGACCCTCCTCCCACCCCAGTCTTGCCCCTTCATGAGTCTCCTACTTTTGTGATTTGGCTGGGAAAGGAGCGGGCAACCTCACTAGCTAATGACAGGACCCTCTGGGGGAGGTGGGACTGTGTTTTCTCTCTTTCCTAGGTTCCCTGGGCATTCCTGGCCAAGTGACCCTTTCATGGCCTCAGGAAAGAACCCTGACACGTGTGTAGTCCTGCTCTTCCTCCAGCACCTCCTGCCCCTGTCCCAACACCGCCACATTTGTGTAGTAGCACACCTCCTGGCTCCTGCCCTCATGTGCTGCACATGGTCAGGGACGCTCACATCTAGGGTGCCCCCTGCCTGTGCTGAGGTGCACCTATATGCATTCAGTCGTGCATATCCAGCACACAACCGTAGAACGCAGCCTCCTTAACGCACTTGAAGTTGCACATCCAAGCACGCCTGTGGATAAGTATGTTCATTGACAGGTTGGGCCTCACTCATGCGCCTGCATCCCTGAGGGAGTTCCTTGGGCTCTGGGATGGTCTGTGTGGTCAAGGCCAGCTTCCTGGCCTAGCCAGACTTCTGGGCCTGCCTAGACCCTAGCAGCTAGCAGCCCTAGAATTAGAGAGAGGCCTGCCCCATGTTCTGCTCTTCACTTGCCTCTTTTGCCTGCACTACCCTAGGAATCTTAGGTTCTCTTTTTGGATTTGTGAGAGCCTGAGGGTTGGGGTTCCTCTGATTCTGGCCAGGGAAATAGGATTCTATCTCCCCTCACCTTTGAGCAGAAGATAGCAAAATTTTTGGCGGCCCCTTCCTGCAGAGCAGGCTGCCCACTGCCAATTTTGTAGAGAGCTCAGGCCTATGTTGGTGGCTACTGGCCCTGGAAGGACTCAGTGGGCTTCTCCCGAGTCTATCTCAGCCGGTACGGTGCTGGGGGCAGGGGAGGGAAGGAGGAACAGGGAGTGGAGACTGTCCCCTGGCACTCCTCCCCTGCACTGTGCCCCTATCAGGTTCCCACCCCTCCCTGGGCCCCAAGCAGCTGTCCTGGGACTTGCTTTAACCCCGCTGCTGTCACCCTTCCTAGGGCCACACTTTTCCCAGGGGCCTGCCAATCTCAGTCCCTGGCTTCTCTCATTTCATACCACCTTTTCCTAGCCCTTGTGGCATCACACTGGGCTGGCTGGGGCTTGAGGCGTTCATGATGGGTGGCCCCTCTGTGCCTCCCAAGGCCCAGAAACCAGGAGGCAGTGCAGGCCCTGAGCCGGCCCGGTCCGTTTTCAGGGCTCGGCGGAGTCCTACACCAGCCGACCATCGGACTCTGACGTGTCTCTGGAGGAGGACCGGGAAGCCCTAAGGAAGGAGGCAGAGCGCCAGGCATTAGCCCAGCTCGAGAAAGCCAAGGTGAGAAATACAGGGTCAGGGGGCTGCGCTGGCTCTATTTTCCCACCCCCAGGCCTTAGGGATGGCCTGAACAGACCAAGGGTCAAGTCTTGGCCCAGCCACTCTTCAGCTGGTGTACCCCAGGGCCTCGATGTGCCTCTGTCTTACAGCTGTAAAATGTGGGCTATATTACTCGCCTTCTCATACAGTATAAGTGCTTAGTAGTGTTGTCCACACATAGTAGGAACTTGAGACTCTTCACTGCTTTCTGGAGTCAAATATCCTGGGCTGACCCTGATTAGCTGTGTGATCTCAGGGGAGCCGCTTAACCTTTCTGAACTTTAGTCTCCTCATTCATTAGAATGAAGATAATAATAGTAGTTAACTTTTTTATTTTTTAAGATTTTATTTTATTTTGTTTTAAGTAATCTCTACACCCAGTGTGGGGCCCGAACTTACAACCCTGAGATCAAGAGTTGCGTCCTCCACTGACTGAGCCAGCCAGGCGCCCCTAGTAGTTGACTTCTTAAGGTTTTTGTGGTGAATAAATGAGATAATGCTTGTAAAACATGTTAACATGGGACCTGGCACAGTAAACCATAGCTTTGGTCATTATTATTGTTGTTGTTGTTGTTGTTATCATTACTGATAGTCTTTCTGGATGTTATTCCAGGATAATACTTACCATCCCTAGTGGCCCCCTCCATTCTGAGAAGGCTGAATTCTATTTTTTTTTAATTGTGAAATTTAGTGTACATACAGGAAAACTACTTAGACAATTCAGTATACTTTTTAATGATCAACACAACAAACCTCCACATCATCCCCATCCCACTACGGTACGTCGTGGCTTAACCCTCTGGTTGTCATTCTCCCTGTGTACCTCTAGACCAAGCCGGTGGCATTTGCTGTGCGAACAAATGTCGGCTACAACCCATCTCCCGGGGATGAGGTGCCGGTGCAGGGAGTGGCCATCACCTTCGAGCCCAAGGATTTCCTGCACATCAAAGAGGTGGAGAGAGCACTTGGTGTCTGGAAGGAGGGCAGGGTAGTGGGGGCCAGGAGAAGGGCAGCTGGAGCTCTAGCGGAAAAAGACTTCTGAGCCAAGCAGAGCTCGGCTGAATCTGCTCTATGAGCTTAGACAAATCTCTTCCCCTCTCTGAGCCTCTAAGTTTCATTGGTAAAATGGGGTGGTGATGCCAAGGTCCCATGGATGTCGAGAGGGTTGTGATGAGATTTGTAAGTGGGGTGATAGTGTGCAGGCACATGTGGGTGTCAGCACTCACCCCTCTCCCTGCCTTTCCAGGGTGGGGTGGGCACATGGTGGGACGGGGACATGTGGGGGGTGGGGTGGTCCATGGCCCAAGGGGCCGCAGGTCACGGAGTTGTTCTGAGGACTGGGGGCTGTGCTCAGAGGCTAGAGCCAGGGGCCAGCTCTTCAGAGGTGCCACCCCCTGGGGAGGCGTAGCAGGTCCCAGGGTGGTTTCTTCATAGGGTGGCTGCTGGCTTGCCCCTCCAATCTCCCTCTTGGTCTCTCCCACCCACCTGCTGTTGCCGTTTGCAGAAATATAATAACGACTGGTGGATCGGGCGACTGGTGAAGGAGGGCTGTGAGGTGGGCTTTATCCCCAGCCCTGTCAAACTGGACAGCCTGCGCCTCCTGCAGGAACAGAAGCTGCGCCAGAACCGCCTCAGCTCCAGGTGTCTAGCTGGGGACCGGGAGGGAGCCATCCACCTGGGACTGGGCCGCAAGGGTTGACCCATTGCCCCGAGGGCATAGCTACGTACACTGTCACCCGTGGCGCTGGAGAATCTCCGGGGGCGGGGGGAGGGTGGCAGGCAGCATAGGAGAGAACAAGCTTCCCCCACCCTCACGCCCACCCCTCTGCTCACAGCTCCGTTTGCCTCTCTGCCCACACAGCAAATCAGGTGACAACTCCAGCTCCAGCCTAGGAGACGTGGTGACTGGCACCCGCCGCCCCACGCCCCCTGCCAGTGGTAAGAGCTGCTACCACCTTAGGGAACGGCGGGGGTGGGGTGGGGGAGCTCCCGGATGGGGGGGGGGGGTCTCTGCACTGCCTGTCCCCTCCTTTCCCTGCAGTAGGGGGCGCCCCAGACCTGAGTCCTCCAAACACACCCAGCGGTACCCCCTCCGTGAAGAGTAGGATGCCCCCCAAGCGGGGCCCGTCAGCGCCCATTCTCCTGTGTCTCTCCTTCCCGTTTCTTTGGTAGCTCCATCTCTCTGCCTGACCCCCTGCCCCAGCCCCATTCATCTCTCCTAGCTCTGTTCCATTCACTTCTTCTTTCTTTTTTCCCCACCCCGTCCCTGCCTTCCGCACTTGTGTCTCCATGTCCATCCCACCCCTCCCCACCTCGCCTCCCTCCTGTCTCCTGACTGCGGCCCAGGTAATGAGATGACTAACTTAGCCTTTGAACTAGACCCCCTAGAGCTAGAGGACGAGGAGGCAGAGCTCGGGGAGCAGAGCGGCTCTGCCAAGACTAGTGTTAGCAGTGTCACCACCCCGCCACCCCATGGCAAACGCATCCCCTTCTTCAAGAAGGTAATTCTTGCTGGGTTCTGCCAAGAGGGCAGGGGGTCAGGGCCCGGCTCTTTGGCAGGGGGAGGGGCCGGGTCAGATTCAGACGCAGTGCTGGCCCAGTTCTGTGGGGAGCAGGGCCTCCTGCCAAGGAGCAGGGAGGGGTGGCATGGCACCAGGAGCGGGCACGTCCAGCTCCACGCACCACCCCTCTGTGGCCCACCCCCAGGAAGGGATGTTTCTTGCAGCCGAAGCACCCCTTCCCTTGGAAGGCTGTACCCCTTGCCCCACCGCCCCCGGAAGCAGGGGCTGGTGGTAACGAAACAGGGATATTCCACGTTTGCCCTCCACCCCAGCATGTGATGGGGAGAGTGGCATGGTGAACCCTTCTTGGTCTTTTTTGGACTCCGTGGGGCTCGGATGGGCTTATGGGGGTCTACTGGCTGCACAGCAGGACAGTTTAAGGAACCCTTAAAATGGGCAGGGTGGACTGCACTAGAGGCAGGAGATGGGCACCAAATTAGGGGCTGTCACCCTTTCCAGAACTTTCCCAAGACCCGGAAAGGGGAAGGGTAGGTGGAAATATTTGTAAGTCCACTGGACTGTCAGTCCTTCTCCCAGCCCTGACCTAGGGCCATCTCTGGCTCCCTCTTGGCATGGGGTCCCGTCCCCTCTCTCTGGCTCTGTCTGTCACTAACACGCATGCCCTGTTATCTCTCCTCGTCTGCCCGCTCTCCCCCCCTCTCCTGCCCTGGCTCCTTCCTTGCCTCTGCCCCTGCCTGGGTGCCCTCCCCTCTCTCCCCCGCCTCCCTACTCTTGGCAATCTCTGGACCCAGCCAAACAGAAGCAGAAGTCGGTGAGTATCACAGCTTTCTGTGTCCCCCTCCCCACCCCCTGGGATGAGCTAGTGGGACCTTCTAACACCCTTCTCATGCCCCCCCTACCCACCCCCCATTTCCCTCACCCTTCCTGGTTCTCCTTGGCCATCCCTCCCCACCCCCACCCCAATCCCCCACATCTGGGTTCTGGGAGCAGGGGGAGGAAAGAATGCATGGGGGAGCCTGGAGGCTGGGGAAGAGGGGCTAATGCCGTCTCCACTCTGGGGTTTCCCCTCCCTGCTTCCCCCTCAGACAGAGCATGTGCCCCCCTATGACGTGGTACCTTCCATGAGGCCCATCATCCTGGTGGGACCGTCGCTCAAGGGCTATGAGGTAGGAGCCCCTAGAGGGGTGTGGACCCAGAGGGGCCCAGATCTCTAGAGAGATGCTACAGAAAGGTTTAGACCCCAGGGAGATCCCCTGGAAGGGCCCAGATACCCAGGGTATCTCCCCAGCGGGCTACAGACCTTCAGAGAAGCCCCCAGAGGGGCCTGACCCACAGGGAGACTCACTCAGAAGGGTCCAGTCCCCTTCCCCCAAGACACCCCCGAGAAGGTTCCTCCCAGGGAATCCACCTAGAAGAACCTTTGGAATCAGAGACCCCATCAGAGGCTCCTCAGACCCAGAAGGAACCCCCCACCTCCCCCAGGGGCCCATTTACCTCAGGAATTAGAGAAGAAAATGGAATGTGAGGGTGTAAATACTTGGCAGCCCACCCTTCCTGAGTGGCTTTAAATACCTCACTCCCCCCCGCCCCGCACCCCCCAACCTCAGGTTACAGACATGATGCAGAAAGCTTTATTTGACTTCCTGAAGCATCGATTTGATGGCAGGTAAGACCCTGGGAGCTGGCTCCCCAACCCCATTGTGGTCCTGGGCTGCTGCGGATGGTCAGGGTGGGCTTGAATGCTGATCCTGGGCCTCCTTGCACTGAGGGCTAGGAGGCAGGCCTGGAGCCTGGGCAGTGAGCAGGGCATTCAAGCCCACCCTGACTCCTCACTCCCCTTGCCCCATCCTTCAGGATCTCCATCACTCGTGTGACGGCAGACATTTCCCTGGCTAAGCGCTCAGTTCTCAACAACCCCAGCAAACACATCATCATTGAGCGCTCCAACACACGCTCCAGCCTGGGTAAGCGCACCCTGCGACGTGGAGGGGGGGGTGCATCTCCAGAGGGGTTGGATTGTCCATTGCCTCTTGGGGAGGCCCCCCTACATTCCCCCTTCCCCATGACTCCGTGTCCCCCAGCTGAGGTTCAGAGCGAGATCGAGCGAATCTTCGAGCTGGCCCGGACCCTTCAGTTGGTTGCTCTGGATGCTGACACCATCAACCACCCAGCCCAGCTCTCTAAGACCTCACTGGCCCCCATCATTGTTTACATCAAGATCACCTCTCCAAAGGTAGGTGCGAGAGCCTGACCCTAGTGAGGACAGGAACACTCTGGGGTTGGGTGGCCTGTCTTTCAATCCCAGCAACTGCTTGTTAACTGTGTGACCAAATCTCCCCAAGCCTTATTTTCCTCCTTTGTAAAACTCCATCACATGGACATTGTGAAAATCGAACCTAATGTGAATGCTTAGCCCTTAGCAAAGGATCTGGATAATGTGCCTTATCATGTATTAGCTAGTATAAATATCATTATAGGGTCATGCAGGCCAGCCCCCTGTGTCCGCTCTGGTTGACCTCCCATCCTTGATCCAGAAAACTGAAAGAATTCTCTGCTTTTTTTTGCAGTGTCACCCAACTACTTGGCAGTTGGGAGGTCTTTTCTGTCATTTGATTTTGTCCCTTTTTGCTGCACTGTCCTCGCTTGGACCTTGATAGAAATGAATCAGTAGGAAGGCTGGTTTACTTCTTGTTCGTATTGCGGCTCTGTGAGTTTCCCCTCCTAGATGTTAGCGGGGGTTTGAGAAACATGGAGGGAGAGTTTAGGTGAAGGATTTGAAGTAAGAAAACAGCATTGGGTTCAAGGCTTTGCTCTGGTTGACTTACTCATTCATTCATTCATTCACTCACTTTTGGTGTTTGTTTGGTTGTTGTTTTGTTATTGAGCTTGGGATTTCTGGAGGATTTATTTAGCCTCTGAGCCTCAATTTCTTCACCTATGAACTGGGAATTGAAATCTCTCCCCTGTTATTGTTGAGGGGATTTGAGGTAATGATGGAAAGAGCCCTGAGTTCTGTCTGACTCATGACTGACAACCAAGGGTGGTAACTGTTCCCATTTTATGAACACACCCTATGAGCAGAGCACCCGGGTACCCCAACCTTTCTGGTTTCTAGTGAGCAGAAAGGGGAGGATAGGATTGAAGTCCTTCCTGGGGTGGTTGACAGGATCTAATGAGATACAGAAACACTCGGAGCTGGCAAGTAACCGACCCTTCCACTTTCTCCCAGGGGCACTGACCGAGGTGAAGGGTGGGGACTCTGGAGCCAGGGCGCCCGGAGTTAATGAACCAGCACTGTACTCCCAGCTCTGTGCTCCTTTGGCAAAGTCCCCTAACTTCTCTGTGCTCGTGTCCTCACCTGCAAAATAGAGATCTTCACATGGTGGTGGTGAGGATGACATAGGTGGGTTAACCATGCAAAGTGCCCAGGACCTACTAAGCACTATATCTGTTCTTTTGTTTTGTTTTTGTTTTGAAATAATTCCAAATCTAGAGAAGAGTTGCCAGAAGAGTACCAAGAACTGCCATTCTTTGAATGCCCTTCACTAAGATTCAGTACTTTTTTTTAAAAAGATTTTATTTATTTATTTGGCAGAGAGAGAGAGACAGTGAGAGAGGGAACACAAGCAGGGGGAGTGGGAGAGGGAGAAGCCGGCTTCCCATGGAGCAGGGAGCCCGATGCGGGGCTCGATCCCAGGACCCCGGGACCATGACCTGAGCCGAAGGCAGACACTTAACGGCTGAGCCACCTAGGTGCCCCAAGATTCAGTAATTTTTAAACAGCTTTATTGAGATAATTCACACACCATTCAATTCAGCCATTTAAAGTATATTGTTTAGTTTTCTGCAGATTCACTAATTTTGAACATTTTGCCACATTTATCTTTATGTATGTGTTATGTATATGTGAATATATATTTTTTCTGAATTATTTGAGAGTAGGTTGTAGATACCATGTCTTTATTCCTAAATATTTCAACGTGTATTTCTTAAGAACTGAGGACATTAATCTACATAACCACTGTACAGTTGCCAAATTCAAGAAATATTATAGTCCTTCATTTTTCTTTTTTCTTTCTTTCTTATTTTTATTAATTTTTTTAAGATTTTATTTATTTTTTTGACAGAGAGAGACACAGCGAGAGAGGGAACACAAGCAGGGGGGAGTGGGAGAGGGAGAAGCAGGCTTCCCGCGGAGCAGGGAGCCCGATGCGGGGCTCGATCCCAGGACCCTGGGATCATGACCTAAGCAGACGCTTAACGACTGAGCCACCCAGGCGCGCCAGTCCTTCCTTTTTTAATTGTCCCAATAATGCCCTTTATGGCAATTTCTCCCTCAACCCAGGATCACGTGTTATATTTAGTTGCTTTATCTCTTTAACATTTTTTTTTAGATTTTATTTATTTATTCGAGCGAGAGAGAGCAGGAGTGAGAGAGAGAGAGAGAGCACAAGCAGTGGGAGGCAGAGAGGCAGAGGGAGAGGAAGAAGCAAACTCCCCACTGAGCTGAGAGCCCAACTCGGGGCTCAATCCCAGGACCCTGGGATCATGACCTGAGCCAAAGGCAGACGCTTAACCGACTGAGTCCCCCAGGCACCCCTCTCTTTCACATTCTTAAACTGGAACAGTTCCCCAGCCTTTCTTGGATTTTTACGATGCTGACGTTTTTGAAGAGTACAGACCACCTACTTTGTAGACTGTTCGTCAGTGTGGGTTTGCTTGATGTTTCCTCGTGATGAGGCTTCGGTTTTGCATTTTGGTGCGATGTGTCTTTCTGAGCATGTTGCATCAAGAAGCACGAGGTGTCTGCTGTGTCATTGGTGACATTAACTTTGATCATTTCGTTAAGGTCATGGCTTTCTGGTTAGCTGTTATTACCATTATCATGATTGCTGTGGAGATGAGAATAATAATAGTGGCTACCTCATGAGATTATTGTCAGGACTAAATGAACTGATCATGTGGAAAGCACAGACCAGTGCCTGTTCGTAGCAAGTGTCCCATCAGAGATGGCTGCTGCCGTTCCCATGGGGATGCTGGCCTGGAGAATGAAGCCTGTAAAGAAGGTGACAGGAATCAGGAAGGCGAATCACTGCCTTTCAGATAGCCCCTTCCCAGGAGAGCCTGGCATGAGACCCTGGAGTGAGCCTGAGCACTGTCTTAAGGAGGCACACAGGGCTGGCGAGGTCATTTCTGAAGAGGTGTCCAGGGCTGAGAGTCATCCAACATCCACCCCCCGGCCCTGACACGCTCGCTCCACCCAGGACCTGCTTCTCTGATTTGGTGCATTGAGAGATCCCTCTAGCTCTGCTTCTCTTGCCCCAAACTAGGTACTTCAGAGGCTCATCAAGTCCCGAGGGAAGTCTCAGTCCAAACACCTCAATGTCCAAATAGCGGCCTCCGAGAAGCTGGCGCAGTGTCCCCCCGTGAGTGCTCAGACCCTGGGAAAGGGGAGCTCTTTGGGTTCTCCTGTTTCCTCTGGCCTGCATGAGAGACAGAGTGACCAGGAGCACCAGGGTGGGGTCTATAGGTGCGAACTGGTCTCCTGGGGAAAGAGCGCCGGACAGGCAGTCAGACACTGCGTTCGGGCCCCGGAAGCCCCACTTCTCTGTGGGGTCAAGCCGGGGTTGCCTTATATCCAGGATGAGAGAGTTGGACTGTCTGGGTGTCAAGACCTTTTGTAGTTCTGCCAGTGTATGTATATGAGAGTCCTCCTCTTCCTGGACATCCAGAGGTTTCTTTTTAACTTTGTCCTTCAACCCTTTGACTCCACCCACTGCACCCAGGCCACACCCTCACCCCTTAGTCACGCCCGGCTCATCCCAGCCCCGCCCCTAACCCCGCCTCCGCAGGAAATGTTTGACATCATCCTGGACGAGAACCAATTGGAGGACGCCTGCGAGCACTTGGCCGAATACTTGGAAGCCTATTGGAAGGCCACACACCCACCCAGCAGCACTCCGCCCAATCCGCTGCTGAACCGTACCATGGCTACTGCCGCTCTGGCCGCCAGCCCTGCCCCTGTCTCCAACCTCCAGGTACAGGTGCTCACCTCACTCAGGAGAAATCTCAGCTTCTGGGGTGGGCTGGAGACTTCTCAGCCGGCCAGGTCGGTGCCCCAGCAGCAGGAACACGCCATGTAGGTGTCCCATCCATTGCCCCTCCTGACCAGGGCTCGAACTGGAGCGCAGGGAACATGGGGAAGGAAGGGAAGAGCTTTATTTTGTAAAAAATGTGGTGAGTGGCAGCTTCTGGTGTCTGTGGTTTTTGATGGGATTGGGGCTGGCTGGTGGTGCCCCCCTGGGCCTGGTCCCATAGGTCTACAGCTGCTGCCCTAGGGGCTTTTGGATATGAGGCCTGATGGGGGCCTTATTATAAGATAGGGGATTAGGAGGAAAACATAAGGAAGACTGATATTTTCATTCACTGGACTTCACACCCATTTTGGTTTTATTTTTTAAATTTATTTTTTTAAAGTAATCTCTATACCCAATGTGGAGCTGGATCTCGTGGCCGAGAGATCAAGAGTTGCATGCTCTGCCGACTGAGCCAGCCAGGCGCCCCCACATCCATTTTAGACCCAGCAGAGCAAGGGCTATCAACCCCAGGCAGTTCCCACAGAGCAGGGCCATTAAGCCCAGAGAGACTGTCCCTTCTCTCAGAGCCCTAATCCCAGGAGTTTCCTCAGAGGGGACCCAGAATGAAGCATCTTCTCTGAGTTGATGCCCTACCTTCCATCCTTCTCCCAGTGAAACAGATTCCAGGAAAGGGCCTCCTGTGGGTGCCCTGCCCTGGCTGGACCTCCTCCCCTGGGAGCTGCTTCCCATCTCTAGGCTCACACCATTAAGTATTTGGTTCTAGATTAGAGCCAGAAGAGAGCCATGAAATCATTCTAAGACCATTGCTTTTCAAATTTGTTTTCAGTAACAGAGCTCATTTGTTCATTGAAACTTCTAAGGAAGCTCAGTATATAAAGTGGCCTTGCTCTGCTCAGAGGGAGCTGGGGGCTTGGCTTCCGTTTCTCCTCTACAGGGACCCCTGAAGCACTTTTGTGCCCTTCCCGCCACCTCGGGTCTCCAGGGAACGGCTTGGAAACTGCTGGTCTAATCCCCATGATACCACCGCAGAGAAACTGGGCCATAGAGAGGAGTCATTTGCTCAGGGTCACACAGCTTGAAGTGGCAAGGAATGGGACTAGAACCTAGGCCTTTTTGCACCCCACCCAGCCTCCTCCATGGTGGCGTGACCATCAGATCACCTTTATGTGGCATTTGGTGCTGAGGATGTTGGGCCGCCTCATTGTCTCTGGGGGAGGGGGTGGGGAGTGTGTATGGAGGGGGTTGGAGACCCATCAGCTTTCCCCAGGCTGCTGCTTTGTTTTTTTGCTGGGGGCGGGGGAGGAATCCTATCAACCCTGGAGACTTTGTCATCTGACCAGGGAATGGATGGGGGAGGTGTGGGGCTCTGGAAGCCTGTGATTAGGGTCTGGTTTGGGCTGAAGGAGCTGGGGTTAGTGAGCTCAAGCTGAAATCCCCTTAGTATATTTGGAAAACTGGGGCAGTGACTAACCCAATCAACCACTAACGAGTGGCGAAGCTAATGAGCTGTTAATGATGATTTAGCCCAAGACAGATTAATGACGTGCATTGAGGAAGCAATGACTAATTATTCGTGGGCTCTCTACCATGGTTACCAGAAGAGTTCATGCCTCCTCCTGTCTTATGAAGATTGGGTGCCTCCTGTCCCAATAGAGGAGCAAATGCCCTGAGGTCTGTCCTCTGGCTGGGCTGTAGAGCCATTTGCCCAGCTGCCCATCCCGTAGAGCCAGCACCCACCTCCTTTAGCCAGATTGGGTGTCCTGGCGCCATCACTAACCTGCCCTGCTTTGTTGTGTTTCTCTCACCCCTGCCTGATCTGCATGGTGTGTGCTGTCCGTCTGCTAACCAGGGACCCTACCTTGCTTCCGGGGACCAGTCGCTGGAACGGGCCACCGGGGAGCACGCCAGTGTGCACGAGTACCCTGGGGAGCTGGGCCAGCCCCCGGGCCTTTACCCCAGCAGCCACCCACCAGGCCGGGCGGGCACCCTGCGGGCACTGTCTCGCCAAGACACGTTTGATGCCGACACCCCTGGCAACCGAAACTCTGCCTACACGGAGCTGGGAGACTCATGTGTGGACATGGAAACGGACCCTTCAGAGGGGCCAGGGCTCGGAGACCCTGCAGGGGGCAGCACACCACCAGCCCAGCAGGGATCCTGGGAGGATGAGGAAGACTATGAAGAGGAGCTGACCGACAACCGGAACCGTGGCCGGAATAAGGCCCGCTACTGCGCAGAGGGTGGGGGCCCAGTTTTGGGGCGCAACAAGAATGAGCTGGAAGGCTGGGGGCGAGGTGTCTACATCCGCTGAGAAGCAGGGGCCACATAGTGGCTCAGGGTAGGGGAGGGACCAAGGGGCTCACCACGGGGGTGTATCTTTCCTCCAGGGGGCGCTGTCTCCCTCTCAGATGCCTTCGCTGGATGTTTGGGGTTTCTTTGGTGGTAGCATCCCAGCTCCTGGGATTCCCTTAAAGCCCAGCTGTAGGTTTTCACTTACTGCTGTGGATGGATGGGGGGATGCCCACCTTTCTGCAGTGTCCCTTTTCCCCACCTCAGGGGGCTCTCTCTGCTCACTCCCAGAGAAAAGGTGCACTTCTTTAACTCTTTATACTTGGGGCTCTCAATAAGGGTCCTAAATGGGGTAGCCCTTTCTTTCCCCAACCTGGAGTATTTGGGAAAGGTAAGGGGGCTTCCATAGACTCCTTCCCGTGAGGGTTCTCTTCCCTGAACCCCAGATCCAGGTTCCTTCACCATGCCCACCCCTCTCCCAGCTTCCTGGCAGCATTGTCTGGTGGGTGAGAGGTACAGAATAGAAGCCCCATGGGGAACTTGTCTTGGGGAGGGGTCTGGGTAGAGAGCGGCAGGCATCAAATGTAGTGCCCTCTGCCAGACCCGGACCCCTGAGGAGCGGGCAGCCGGAGGCCCTGCTACCCACCCCACCACTTCCATGCCTCAGCCTCCGCCTGCGCCAGGAATGAGCTTTGCCTACAACCTCCCTTGCCTACTGCCATTAGAAGAGGGGGCCCCTGTGCGTCTGAGCCCCCCCACCCCATTTCACCTGGGTGTGGCACCCATGGAACACTCTAGTCCGCCTCATTTTGAAACCAAAAAAACTGCTCCTTCACTTTTGCCCGGAGGCCCCAGGGGAGAGGCCCTGTGGGTTGGTGCCCAAGAGGTAATGGCTGCCCCAGGGGTCACCTGGGGGCCTTGGATCTCCCCTGGGGGCTTGGCTGCCGCTGGTCTTGCTCTGCATTTGCCTCTTGTGATCCTGTCCTCCTTCCACGTCCACTCCCCCCCCCAGGAGATGCCTTGGTACCCCCTCTGGCCCCCCCGGTGGTCCTCTCAGCCTAGCCTCCCTGCAGCCCCGCAGCCCCGCCCCTCCCCAGCACGCAGTGGGGCCAGAGAGCCGACTGTGCCAACGAGGACTGGGCCCTGCCCGGCTGCCCGCCTCGGGGATGGGCACCTCATGCCTATCTCACCACCTCCTGTGCCAGTGTTGGTCCCCCCCCCACCTGGGGTGGGGGGCAGCTTCCACTCACTGGTTAGAAGACACCACTGCCCAGTCTCCCCCAGCCCCCTCCCTGTCTGGTGTCCTGTGCCCCCAGTCTGTCTGTCTGTCCGTCTGTACTCCCCTAGAAGTATTTGGCCACATATAAAACCGCCGTCCTGTCCTTGGCCGCCGCCTCCCGAGCCTGCTTCTTCGTTCCTGCCACGCGGTCAGCCTGGGCAGGTGGGAGCTGCCGCCACGCAGGGGAGTGGGAAGGGGCGGGCGCGGGAGGAAGCCGTGCCCCGAACCCTTGATTCACCAGGACAGACGGTGCTTTGTTTGGCGACTCACTGAGGCCTCACGGTCCTGTGTGGCCAGTTTCAGCTGCCGCTTCCCATTCAGTCCCAAGTCTTACCCGTTTCCCCACAAGTAGAGCCAGAAAAGAATGGGAAGCCGAGGTGGAGAAATGGGGTGGCAGGCATGATTCCGTGGGTGAGATCCAGTTTTTCTGCTCCTGTGGCGTCGGCTGCTGCCCAGCACCTCCTGCGAGAGTGACTGAGTTCCCCTCTGGCTCCCTCTTCCACTGATGGCCCTGCTAACCAGCTTTGGGGAATGGAAGAGGTCTACTGGGGGGGGCAGAGAATGGGGGCTCCACCAGCCCCAGCTGAGAACATCAAGAGTGAGAGAGTCGGCAGGGGACTATGTCAGTTTCGTCAACCCCAGCTAGCAGGATGTGGACCCCGGACCGCTGTCGCCACTGGCACCTGTATCCTGCCTCATGTGGCACTCACAAACCATGTCGCCACTCTCCTGGTTCTTGTTTCTGGGGTGGTGGACCTGGAGGACTAGAGCTCCTGGGTCCCTTACCTGAATGCTTCTGCTCAAAGTGTGTGTGTGGCGGGGGGGGGCGGGGTGTAGGGCAGCAGACATCTAGACCTTCCCAGGTGAGGCATTAGCAGACCCAAGGAAAGGAATTGGGCAGGTCCGCAGGTCAGGTGGCGGGCCCAAGGTCCCAGGGAGTTGACAGCAAAGACTGCTGGGGTTGGAGTCCAGTCCCTGCCTCCCAGCCTAGCGCTCTGACCCCAGTGCCTTTCAATGGAATCAATCCTTTATTCCCGTGTTTACTCACTGGACATTTATTGAGCACCTACCATGTACCAAGCACAAGTCTAAAAGGGAGCCACAGACGGTTCAGGACAGCATGGTGAGCTCTCTGCTGGGAGAAGCACTGGGTTCTGCAGGAACCTGGTAGAAGGGTAATTCCCTTAGCCTGGGGAGGTCAGGAGAGGCTTCTCAGAGGAGGTGAGGCTTGAGTGAAGTCTAGAAGGCTGGTTAGGAGTTAACCTGGGTGGGCAGGGGGGAAGTGTTCAAGACAGGGGAAGCTGGTGACATGCATGGCATGTTCCTGGTACTTCACCAGCAAAGTGTGCTCTCAAGGGGGTGGTCAGAGAAGGGCCAGCAGGAGCAGATCACGGTGGACCTTGAGTCATGTGAAGGAGTTTGGGCTTTGTCCTGAAGCTGCTGTGCAGAAATTGAAGGATTGTAAGCAGCAATGACAAAGTTGCCTTGGTTGCGGTTTGGAGCATAGATTGGCGGGCCTAGCTTGGACAGAGCTGCAATACTCTGGGTAAGAAACAAGGGTGGTTGGAACACTACATCAAAAACTAATGATGTAATGTATGGTGATTAACATAACATAATTTTAAAAAAAAAGAAAGAAAGAAACAAGGGTGGGCTGCAGTAGGCCATAGCAGGGGGATGGGAAAGGAGGCAATGGCTGTCAGAAACATCTAGCAGTTTGAATCCAGGGCTCATGGAGAGCAATTGGAGGTGGACAGTGAGAGACAGGGAGGCGTCTGGGGGTGACTATGGGTGATGGTCTTCCCAGAGACATAGAGGAAGCAGGTGGAAAAACCAGGTCAGATCAGAAACAATGTCTAGCTTTGGACAAGGTGGGTTTATGGTGCCTGTGGAAGGACACCCAAGAGGAGAGGAACAGAAGACAGCTGGGTGCTTAGTCTGGAGAATCGGAACTGCAGAGAGCTTCGTCTCGGGGGGGGAGCCCGATCTTTTGAATCAAGGGCAGGGATTACTAACTTCAGTTTACAGATAAAAGTTCCGTGAGGCTAAGCAACATCCATAGTTACACAGCTACGGAGCAAGCACTTGAACTCAGATCTTTGGAGTTCAAGTTGTGTGTGGTGCCTGTGAACTCCAAGTCTCATGCCAATTCCCCTGCTCTGGCTTCTGCAAGGGGAGGAGGGCTGGGGAGGAAGAAGCAGGTGTCTGAATATGTTTGTCTCCTCTTCATGTGCCTTCTGCCTGAAATTGCATTTGCTGGGAACTTGCAGGCGGGGGCATTTCTAGGTGGTGTAGAGGTGTTGAGAGATGAAGAAAGAGAGACTATCTTTTGGTAACCACAAGCCCTCAACTGATGTACATTCAGCACGTTGGTGGTTGTCAGCATGTGAGGATTTCAACAACCGTAAAGTCAGCTGGGATTAGGTCTCCAGAGGCTGGGGCTACCACCACCTCAGGGAGTTGGGAACTGAGGCGCTGAGGACCCCTCCTATCGGGGACCCCCCCGTCTCCTTCCCTGACCAGTAGCTTCTGTCCAGCTTCTGAGCTGAGGTCAGAGAGGCCTCAGTCCTGGGTGTGGCTGAAGGTTTCCACCTTCCAAAAAATCAAGGAAGCTGAGCTCCCTCCACGGCCCGGGAGCAATGGGTGTTCCAGCTGGTGCCCTAAAGAAAAATCTTGTCTTAGCGCCAATAATTACATATTCAGAAAAGTGTGCCTTCCTACCTACTGTCTCTCAGGGTTTTGTTTTGGTTTTATTTTTTGATGTGTATATTTCTCTCTCCCACTAGATGGTAAAGGCTCCAAAAGACCCAGACAGGGTCTGTTTTGTCTACTTGGCCTGTTTCCTAACTCCTGACTCATATTTGTCAAATAAATGAATGAATGCCCCCTAAGACCCAGGCTCTAGGCCTGGCAGCCGAGGCAGCTCTCGTCTGTTTACTGACTGTGCTCCAGCTAGCAGAATATCACTTTCAATTCTGCAATTGGCGGTGGTAGTTGGGGGAGGGGGCAGGATGCACTTAGGGGTTCCTCCCCACCCCAGGAAACAGATGGTAAAAGTGCTTAAAATATTACTGCTTCCCCCAGTCCCCTCTGCACCCCCACCCTATCGCACCCAGCTCTCCTTCTTTCCTGGGGCTGAAATGGGCTCTGGTAGTCAATTCTCCTTCGCTCTAACTCCAGGCACCAAGGCGGGTGGGATAAGAATTCCTTATTTAGCCAACTGTTTTCCCTCTGCTCTCCATACGCTTCCCAGCCTTCTTCATTCCTCTTCAACTTGTGCTCACACTTTTTTTTTTTTTAAGATTTTATTTATTTATTTGACAGAGAGAGAGAGAGAGAGACAGCGAGAGCAGGAACACAAGCAGGGGGAGTGGGAGAGGGAGAAGCAGGCTTCCTGCGGAGCAAGGAGCCCGATGTGGGACTCGATCCCAGGACCCTGAGATCATGACCTGAGCCGAAGGCAGACGCTTAACGACTGAGCCACCCAGGCGCCCGCTCACACTTCTTTAATGCTCAAAATACCAGGCTCTAGCATAACTCATTGTACTTCACTCCAATAGCAACACGGTCCTACTGTGTGCCAGGCACTGGACCAGGCTGGGAGTGCAGGGAGAACACAAGTGAACAAGACCCAAACCCCACACTCCAGGCCTCACAGCTGATTGGTGGAAACAGGCCAGTGTCCAATCTCAGGGTGGAGAGAAGCCCCATTTGTCTGGAGAACCGGGGCAGGACTTGAGAAGTAGGTGGCTTTTATGGCAGGCAGCTAAAGGCTTTCAGGAAGCCACCTTTCCGAGAAGGTGAAAGACATTCAGGTGGAGGAAACACAGAAGCAAAAGCACTGTTGGAAGGAGCTGGGCATGTGTGGGCAAGGACCAGTGGATGCAGAAGGTGGGAGATCACCTGCAAAGGCAGGTGGGGGCTGTTCACGGAGGCTCTTGAATGTCAGGTGAAGTGGCTGATCTGAATCCAGTGAGCAATAGGGAATCATTGAAGGTTTATGAGCTGTGGAGTGACGGACTCTGAGCTGTGCTTTACGAAGGTGAATAGGGCTGTGCTGAATCAGGGAGGCAGAGGCAGGGAGACGAGCAAAGGTTGTTCCCTTAGTGGAGGGGAGCACTAATGGGCTGTAGGAGGGCCGTGGCAGTCGGGGGCAGAAGGAGCTGATTCTCCTGTGTGGTAACTGGCTCCTCCTAACTGCCCCCTCAGCCTGAGGTTGGCTTGCCTCCCCACTTCTCTTTTTGTTTTCTGGTTTTTCCCAGTTTAAGCAAAGAAGGAAATTCACAACAAAGAGTCCCCTCCTCCCTCTCCCTCCTCCAGCCTGGCTCTCTCTTGGCCCAGGTTCTCTTCTGCTGGCTCTTGGCATCTGGTACCCCTCTGTAGGGTCTCTGGCTGCGAGATCCCTCTTTTTGCTCCGTCCTTATCTTCAGATGCCCATCCCCCCAGATCTGGGAGCTGTGCCTGAGCAGTCAGTTTGCCAATGAATCACAGAAGCAGTATGGATTTATTCCTAGAAGTTGCCTATCACCAAGGGACCTCCAAAAGGAAGGGAGACTCTGCCTTTCCCCTAAGGGAACTCACTTTGAGTGGGCCTGCAAGAGCCACACTAGTGAAAACACTAGGGATCTGCTGGGGGTTGGAATATTCTCCCTGCTCAGAGAGGATCAGTGAGCCGCCTGCGCCACACAGCTGGCCGGTGCAGGAGGTAGGGTTTTGCTTCAGTCTAGTGCCCCACACATGCCACTTGGAGAAGGGAGAGCAGGGACCTGGTAGTGAGTCACTGTGCCGGGCCTCCTTGATGCAGTGGGGGAGCAGTTCACCCAGAGAACCTCTGGAGTTTTCTCAGGGCAAAGGCAAAGAGGAGGATGTGGAGTCTGGACCCCACTTTCCTTGCACCTCCAGGACTCTAGACAAGTAGCCTGTTCGTTGTCGCTGTGACATTCATAGCACTGGCGAGGGGCCCCGTCCCAGGGGATTCCCAGGTCCCGCAGGTGACTCCTCAGGCTTGCGTGACCTCATAGGCAAAACTCGCTCGGCCCTCCCCGGGGGGCGGGGTTCTAAGCACCCTGGCTCGACCCGGGCCCCCGAAGGTCGCTGAGTCTTGCCCCTCTCCAGCCTGGGACGCGCCATGGGACAACTGATCGCCAAGTTGATGGGCATCTTCGGGAACCAGGGTAAAGGGCGCACAGCGCATTCAAGCGACCGCTTGGATCCGGCTCCCACCTGGAGCTCCCCGGATCTGGGGTCGGGGCGGATGCGCTGGGGGACCTCGGGCTCCGAAGGTCCTGCGTGGGCACTCCTTGCAGGCTCCGCGGCCTCCCCTGCCCCCTCCCACAGCCCCTCCCCGCCTGCTCCTCGCGGGTGGCGCGCTTTCGGTGCACCCCGGGGTGCAGGGCTCGGCGAGCCCCCGTCTTCCTGGCTAAAAGCTGCCGCGGGTTTCCTGCGATCGTGGCCCTTTCTCCAGGCCCCTTCTCTTGTTAAGCCCAGGGCGACCCGGACCTTTCCGGCAACCGCTTTTCTGGAAATGTGGAGCGAGGGAGGCGGGGCTCAGCAATCATTTCCACTGCCGGGGGCTGGTGCGGCTCTCCGGGGTCTGGGGGTGGGGGGAGGAACCCTGTCCTGTTGGGTTTTTGTCGGGGAGGAGTGCAGGGGAGCAGAAGTGATACAATGGGCAGAGGTCTCCCAGCTCGCTGGAAACACTCATCTCCTTCCTGGGAAGCCCGATGGGGCACTCAGTCCCTTGGTTATTGAGTTTGGCCCTGACCCTGCCTCCTCCCCTGCATGCCTCCAGAGCACAAGGTTATCATCGTGGGACTGGACAATGCCGGAAAGACCACCATTCTCTACCAGTTGTAAGTGACTCTCTGATGGAAAGAGGTGGGGGTTGGGTCTTCCCATCAGACTGACTGACCTTTGGACCAATCGCCGGAGCCCTTCCCTGGGTTCCCGGGTTTTCCAGGAGACAGGAGGAGTGATGGTGGGGGGAGCTCTGTGATCTTCCTGGCATAGTGACCCTTCGGTTCTGTGGTCCCTCGCCTGGCATTCGAGTCCTGCCCGATATGGGCGACTCTAACGGTCCCCGCCATCCCCCTCCCACCCCCGCCCCTACCAGACCCTGTTGGAGGCCTGAGGCTGTCAGAAGCTGACTTCCTGCCTCCCTGCTCTTCGCTCCCCCTAGTGGCGGGTTCCACATTCCTAACTCCTGCGCCCGAACTTTGCCTCTTAACTTTCTCCCCTTCTTCACACCCACAGGGGAGGGCTCGTTTTGAGTCTGGCTGAGCTCTGTAGCTCCCGATGTCCACTCTCTGGATGGCATCTCTCCCCCTTTGGAACCTCCAGAGTATTTACGTAGGAAAATTTTCCCCTGAAAAAGAAATATATGTAAATGTTTATTTTAAACCAGAAGAGTACATCGAACATTACAAGCACATACAGTGAAAAGTAAGTTTCCCAATCACCCCTGATGCCCAGATCGTCCAGAGGCACCCCCTACACATAAAAAAATGTGTGTTCTCTCTGTTAAACAAAGCACCTCTCTGATGGCCTTCACTTGTATCTGTCTCGTTTTCCCAATCCCTGCTGCTCCAAGTGTGGTCTACACATCAGTGGCATTGCCATCATCTGGAAGCTTGTTAGAAATGCAGAACACTGGGCCCCAGCCTAGACTCACTGGAATAGAATCTGCATTTTTTTTAAAGATTTAATTTATTTGACAGAGAGAGACACAGTGAGAGAGGGACCACAAGCAGGGGGAGTGGGAGAGGGAGAAGCAGGCCTCCTGCTGAGCAGGGGGCCGCATGTGGGGCTCGATCCCAGGACCCTGGGACCATGACCTGAGCCAAAGGCAGACGCTTAAGGACTGGGCCACCCAGGTGCCCCTAGAATCTGCATTTTAACAAGACTCCCAGGTGTTTCAACTGCATATTAAAGTTTGGGGACAGGGTCCCTGGGTGGCTCAGTTGGTTAAGCGACTGCCTTCGGCTCAGGTCATGATCCTGGAGTCCCGGGATCGAGTCCCACATCGCGCTCCCTGCTCAGCAGGGAGTCTGCTTCTTCCTCTGACCCTCTTCCCTCGCCTGCTCTCTATCTCTCATTCTCTCTCTCTCAAATAAATAAATAAGATCTTTAAAAAAAAATAAAGTTTGGGGACATGGCTCTAATATGACTCCTGTCTCTGGTGTCCACGCCAGGGCAGGACTTGGTCCCACTCCTGTCTGCATTCCCCTGTGCCCACAGGCTTGGCCAACTTGGGCTGAGTTTTTCTGAGTTAGATTCAGCCTGACTCGGGAGCCGAGGGGTGGGGGGCCCAGAGCTGGGAGCAGAATGGGCTGAACTCTTGGTGCCCTCTCCTCCCTCCCCAGCCTGATGAATGAGGTGGTCCACACATCTCCCACCATCGGTAGCAACGTGGAGGAGATCGTTCTGCGAAAGACACACTTCCTCGTGTGGGACATAGGGGGGCAGGAGGCTCTGCGCTCTACCTGGAATACCTATTACTCCAACACCGAGGTGAGCAGAGTGTTGGGGCTGGAGGGGCCTTGAAGTCTGCTGTGTGACACGAGCCAGTCACTTAACCTCTCTGAGCCTTGGTTCCCCCACTTTGTGAGGTGGAGACTGTAATAACGACTGCCCTGAATTGTTGTGAAAATTACATAATAAACAACAGCTAACGCATACATTTTGAATCCTTAATGCAGCACAGTGTTTTTTAAAAATGTCTGAATACCTCTTGGCAGCTTTCTGTGTGCCGCTCTGCATGGGGTAGGCCCTTGGGCTCCGGGGCCTTTCTCGCTCTTGCAAGATTCGGTGGTTTGCTTCCCAGAGTGAGACTGAAGGTGAATTCCAGCGCTGCTACTCACCAGCTGTGTGTCCTGGGGCAACATCTGCCGCCTCGCTGAACCCATCTCATTTGTAAATGGCGCTAAGCCTAGTCTAGTCGCCCAGGGCTGTGGTGGGACCCGAACACTGTCACGAACGACCAGGGCGTCGCCTCTGGCACACAATCAGAGTCGTGCTGTGTTCCCCCTTTTCTGGATGGAAAAGGGAATGAAAATGGGACTAGGACAGTGAAAGTTTGAGACCAGACATGCGCTCCACGGGGCTTACACGGGGCGGTGCCGAGGCCGGGTCGGGGAGCACAGTGGGCGGGAGAAAGCCCACCACTCACAGCTGCTCTCTGCTGGCCAGTTCATCATCCTTGTGATTGACAGCACGGACCGGGACCGGCTGCCGACCACTCGGGAGGAGCTGTATAAGATGCTGGCCCATGAGGTAAGGCCCCTGAGGTTGGGAGAGGGCCCGGTGTACTAGCTGTGGGACCTCAGCCTACTCACTTAGCCTCTCTGAGCTTCGTTCCTGAGTCCCCAGTGTCTGAGAGCCGCTTCCCCAGCAGTTTGGATGGGGCTAGTTTATCCCAGATGAAGGGCCACAATGCCCTCCGCACAACTGATCGCAGAAGCCAGAGCTGCTGGGGCGCCTGGGTGGCTCAGATGGTTGAGCGTCTGCCTTCGGCTCAGGTCATGATCCTGGAGTCCTGGGATCGAGTCCCGCATCGGGCTTCCTGCTCCTTGGGAGCCTGCTTCTCCCTCTGCCTCTCTCTCGCTCTCTCTCTCTGTGTCTCTCACGAATAAATAAATAAAATCTTTAAAAAAAAAAAAAAAAAAAAAAGAAGCCAGAGCTGCTGGTCCAGGTCATGACCCCACTTCTCACTCACCACGGGACCCCCAGACAAGTCACTTCACTTCTCTCCGTTTCCCCAAGTACAAAATGGGGAGGATCACCAAATTCCTGCCTCATGGCACTGTCGTAAGGATCATATGAGCTGGTGGGCAGGCATTCCCTGAGCTGTGGGTGTCCGCACATGTGGTGGCCCCACGCTGGTCCCACCTGGGACAGCAGGGGAGCTAGGGAGGACTCGGGGGTGGGGGAAGGGGGAAGGGAGGCTAGGCCCTGGCCGGCTGACTGGGGCTGGGCTCCTCTGTGCACAGGCTCTGCGAGATGCTTCTGTCCTGATCTTTGCCAACAAACAGGATATGAAGAACTCCATGACCACCATGGAGATCTCTCAGTTCCTCACTCTGAGCACCATCAAGGACCACCCGTGGCACATCCAGGGCTGCTGTGCCCTCACCGGGGAAGGGTTAGTGGCTGCCCCACCTGGAACCTCCAGGGTCTGGCCCAACCAACGAACAGCTGACCATCAGAACCTTCTCCTGTTTCCCTGCTGTCAGAATCTGGCTCACACTTAGCTCCTGGGCCCAGTCAGTCGAGCACCCACCCACAGCTGAGATGTTGTGGGTAAGCGGTGAGCGAGATAGAGTGCCTGCTCTCGGGAGGTGTATTCTAGTGGGGAGAGAGGTGACCTTCCACCTAAGCACAAACATTTCACGTACTGAGAAGTGCCATGAAGAGAGTGAAATTGAATTAACAGTGATAGATGGGGCAGGGTTGGGTCTGATTTAGCACTGGTGGTCAGGGACAACCTCTACTAGGAGGTGACCTTTGGGCTGAGACCTGAAGGGAGAGGAGACAGCCATGGGAAGACCTGGGGGCCAAGCCTTCCAGGCAGAAGTCACTAAGGCTTTCTGACCTTGAGTTTTCTCATCTGTATAGAGGAGGGCGATTATACTGACTCTCTCTTAGAGTTTCTGTAGAGAGTAAACGGTATCATTCATTCAACATTTATCAAGTACCGACTCTGTGCCAGGCACTTTTCCAGGTACCAGAGAAACAGCAGTGAACAAAACACAAAAACCCCTTGTCCTCATGGGGCTTACTTTCTGGTGGGAGGGAGCCTACAATAAACAATAAAATTAAGAAAAATCTACAGTAAGTTAAAAAATGGCAAAGTGCTCGAAAAAGATCAAGTAGGAAAGGGAGATTGAAAGTATGTGGGCAAATGTTGCAATTTTTGCTAAGGTACCAGGGAGGGGGCTGCTGAGACAGTAGCTAAATCATGGTCACATAGAAAGGGCCTCGCATCAGGCTTGGAAAATTCTCTTTCCTCTTCTCTCTCTTGAGTGGGATTGCAGCAGGCTGGGGACCCGGGTGCCTGGAGTCTGCAGGCAGGTCTGCCCAAGGAACCACACATTTCTGGTAGTGTTCCTGCCATTCCCTCCTCCAACCCACATCCATCTCCTCTGCTAGACTGTAAGCCCCAGATGGCATGTCTGTGTTTTCACCAGTCACCCCAGCCCCTAGCCCAGTACGTTTATATTTGTCAACTGAGAGATGGGATGTAACTTTGGTTGTTACATCCAATCCATCAGCTCTGGGTAGGGCTGGGGGCTTGGAGGCCATCATCCTCATGGGATATAATGATCTTTGCCCTCTTCCATCCTCCCCGCAGGCTGCCCGCGGGGCTCCAGTGGATGCAATCTCAGGCCACTGCCAACTGATGCCCCGACCTGAGGCCAACCAAAGACTCCGGGGGGTTTTGCTTGGACTACATGGGTGGAAAGCCCAAGTGACGATTACTTTTCTACGATTCTCTGATGGGAGCTGAGTCAGCTCTGGACAGTGAGATCGCCACAGTCCACCCAACCCAACCCCGCCACCGAGGGGCTAGACTGCCCGCCCTGACCTGCTGCAGACAGGCAGGACAGCAGAAGAGCTGCCCTTCACTCCAGGGAAGCAGGGGTCCTCGGAGGCACAGGCGAGCCGTTGGACATGTGAGGGATTGGGAAGTGGAGCCCCATCCCCTCAGCCCGCAACCTCTTTGAGGGAAAAGAATGGGGGACGGAGCAAGAGACCCCCTGGAATTGCTCTTTATTTCCTAGAACCCCACCCCCTATCCGTCGATTCCCGCCCCAGCTTTCTGGCCCCTTAGCCATCTTTGAGCAAAGGAGATTCCAGAAAGGTGAAGGGGCAGGCTCAGGGCAAGGAGGACAGAGCCAAAAACTGGTGGGAAGGGAGAGGAAGAAGGACGGGACATCCCCGATGGGGACATGCCTTGCACCTCGGGGAGTTCCACCACTCCTCCCATGCCTTTCATTTCCCTCTGGGATGCTGGCTCTGACCCCAGCTTCTGAGCGTTAGCCCATCCCATCCTATGCCCTCCGCTCCTTCCAGTGTGAATCCCACTCCTCCCACATGTCTCCAGTTCCTACAGCGTGCCCATCTCGACTATCTTTTGTCATGATTTTGTCACTGTTTTAGAATTTTTATAAAAGTATAATAAATGCCATTGAAAACTGCTCGCCTCTTATTTCAGCCTGCTCCTGCTACCTGTGTTTCCAACTGGCTTTTGGTTTTTGTACAGGGCCGGGGGAAATCCTCCTTGGAAATGAAGGGGGTACTGCCTCAAGGGTCCATGGGACTAGGGCACTGGCTGGTTCTTTGGTCCTGGGCTCTACCATCCGCTGCCAGGTAACTCACTCCCGACTTGCCGGGACTGGGAGCTTTTGGCTCTACCTGGGTCTAGGGGTGGGAGTGGTTTGATGCTGACTCATGGAGTTGGGGGGAGGGGCCTTGGGGGATTTCTATGGAGGCAGAGCCGAAGACAGCCTCTAGGCGGAGCCCTGCTGTTACCCCGTAAGACCTGAGATGGTCCTGGAGTCCATGGGTTTCTCCCCTTCCCAAGTCAGGCTGTGGACATACTGGGGACAGCCTGGACACAGTTATAGAAAGCCCAGGATTCCTTAATCCTGTGGTTTTCCTGAGGTGTGATGATGGAAAAAGAGCTCAGCAATTCTAGCTATCTCCACCCAGCCCACAACCTGCTCTCTTCATGAGGCCATTTCGACACAACCCTTGGACGAAAACATAATTTAATATTCTCCTTATCACTACAGAAATTCATTCTAATAAGTAATAAGCTGCGTGACGGGGGTATAGCTCAGTGGTAGAGCATTTGACTGCAGATCAAGAGGTCCCCGGTTCAAATCCGGGTGCCCCCTCTTCATGCCAGACTTTTCGTGTTTTCTTTGTCCTGCGGTCCACCGCTCAAAGTGCCCTGGCAGGGGAGAGGAGGGGTTGCAGTCTCGGGGCCCGCCACCCCCTTTTGCAGGCAGGCGACGTTGGAGTCTTGGCCCCGCAGATCCACGCGCTCAACCCGCGTGGGCGTTTACGGGTGGGATGTAGCGGGAGGGCGAGAAGCTGCTGGTTAACCCTAGGGGGACAGCGCAGACTGCGCACCCCCCGAAGTGCTAGGGCGGAGGCGGGTGCACCCCCAGGTGGGCCTGGCCAGCGACCCGACGGCTCTTCCCGGGGAGGGAGGCCGACTATCTAAGGGCTGGGCTTGGGCTGGGGAAGGAAGGCCCAGAGAAGCCTGCCTGAGCGTGCAGGACGGAGAGAGGGGCGCCAAGAGGCAATAAAGGGGCTCCGACAGGGCAGGAGAGGGGGACCTCGGCGCGGGGAATGTCCCCGAAACCAGGGATCTCGAAGGATCTCGAGGGATTTTTCCAAACTCCACTTTGCTTACACCATTCAGTAGAAATCTTTAGCTCAGAGCTTCGGGAAACAAGTTGTGCGTCCAGGCGAGTAATCTTTTGAGGTTATATTATTTTCAACTTTTGCGAACATTGGACCCCGCTTCTTTTCACAACCTCGTTACAGCGCCTGCGCACTCATAGCACTAAGAGGTTGCTGCGCCCAAACGTCAGCAAAGGGGGTATAGCTCAGTGGTAGAGCATTTGACTGCAGATCAAGAGGTCCCCGGTTCAAATCCGGGTGCCCCCTTGCTTGTCGTTTTCACTTGGCCGCAAAGGTCCTGATCTCCCTGCGTCATTTTTCCCCCTTCCTCATTTTACGTTGACATTGCCTTCGCCACCTCCCTTGTGAGCAGACGACAATTAGTGCAAGAAAGACGCGAGAGAGTGCAAGAAGCGGGAAATCTCAAGCAATGGCTCTTAAAATGTGGTTCCCCGGACTAGCACCACCACCTGGGAGCGTGTTAGAAATGCAGATTCTCGGCTTCTTCCCAGAACCATTGAATTAGGAATCTGGCGGTGGCGCCCAGAAATTTGTATTTTTAATAAGCCCCCCAGGTGATTCTGATGTACGCGCAAATTCTAGAGGCTTACATTTAAAAAAAATTTACACGTCACTTGCTTCGAATTATTTCCAAGCTGCTGTTTTCAGTCCGAGCCCTTAAAGAGACCTTGTAAGACAGACCGCGGCTCGCCACTTGGCCGCTAGAGGGCAGCAAGAAGCCGCAGCTGGAGGCGGCGGCCTATTCCTATTTGAGAGTCGGAAAACTCGGGATTTGAATTAGACAGCAAGAAGAACTTACAGACAGGCCTTGCCTTGTCCCATTGTAAAGGCTTAGCGTTTAGGGCTGGAGGAGGTCGTTTCTGGGACCCTGGATCCAGAGGAAGGAGGAACTGGGATTCTGAGAGATTAGGGAGTCTTTAGTTCTTGTTTCCCTTCTCAGTTCCTGTCTTTGGCCTCAGTGTCAGGGAACCCCCCTCCTCCAGCCCACACTCCTGTCCCCGCGCGTATCCCTCTTCCTGGGGAACTCCTTGAAGGGCTCTTCGCGTCCATCCCCTACCTGTCCGTGACTGTCCAGTCCCTAGGCCCCAGCCCCGTGAGAAACCAGGTGCCCCTCACCCCTCATTCTCCCACCCTGGAGTGCTCCAGCTCCTTGCCAAAGCACGAAGTAGGTCAGGGGAGGGAACAGGCACTTTCGTGTCCCGACCTGATTCCCCGCCGTCTATTAAATCTCCTAAATTGCGGGTATTTTTGTTCTGTCCTGAAAGAAAAGAAAAAAAAAAAAAAAAAAGAAGGTGATCTATCCCCAGAGTCTGTCATAAGGTGGTGGCAGGTGGGGTGAGACGTCTTCTTGCTCTGGGGGCTGACTTTGAGGATTGATTGGGACCTTGAACAGTCCCGGGGTCCCCAGAGAGAAGGGTGGCCTCAGTTACCTTCTGGGGGTGAGGGGAAGTCCGGGTTAAAGTATGAGTAAGCCGGGCCCCTCCACCCCCGTGTCCGCCAGGCTGGTGGGCAAGACGGTGCTGGGAACTGGGGGTGATGGGAAAAAGGGAGAGGAGCCCTGGGGAGGGGAGTGTAATTCGGGCCTCTGTTGGCGAGAGAAGCTGGGGGGTTTGTGCTGCAAGGGGAGATTCCTGGGGTGGGGATGGGCATCAGAGACCCACAGAACTCTGAGGAACAGCCCAGAAAGTCGGGAAGCCTGGTGGAGCTGGGGGAGGGGTGCGTATGGCAGGAGTCCACCGCCCGAGGGACTGGGCGCCTGTCCCTTCCTGGGGTGTGCACCCTCCCCACACACACACCCCGGTCTTGTCTCCGCGGCTTTCCCACGGGGGTGGTGGAGGGGAAGGGAGACAGGAGCTAAGGTGCGGGGTGGGGGGGCCGCTTCTCCCAGCCCAGGGTCCCCCGCCCTGTCCCCTACTCCGCCCCCAGCCCCCCCGCCCCCCCCAACCCCGCCGTGGGAGCGCTCCGGGAGGGCTGGGAGGACCCGGGAAGACTCGGGGAGCGCTCGGGAGGCGCCGCGCCCCCCCCCCGCCCCGCCCCGCCCCCTCCCCGTCCGCGCTCCGGGA